CCAAGAGACCCCTTATCCCAAGAGCTCTCAAGGTGCTGGCTTCACTGCTGAGACTAAGCTTGGGTTTATTGTATAAACAGCTGCAGTTTTTTATGCAACGGAGAACATCAGTTCCAGAAACAACTCTTAACCCTACTCTGCATCTATCAAACTCCTGTTATCTGTAGATTTCAATTTTCAAGCTGGAAATATATATTTTTTTTAAATATATTGTACTATAATATAATGTACTTTTTAAAATGCACCTTACATTCCTTCTGGGAATTCGAAGTCTGAGGAACAGTATGGTTCTAAGCACACTAGACAAAATGAGACCTTTCTCGTTAAGTGTTAAAATACACTCAGAATACTTCTAACTAATCACAAAAAAAAAAAAAAAAAAAAAAAAAAAAAAAAAAAAACTATAAATAATATCTTAGAGACTGCTTCTTTCCATTTCTGGTAGAGTTCCCCAGCTCTTCCACAAAAGGGAACAACAAGGAAAAAGGGGGCCTACCAAAAGGTCTCTGATTCAACAGAGTTAGAGCTGTATCTACAGATAGTTATCTGTATAGAATTATAACCATATCTAGCCATAGGCTAGAGGCTTTGTGTATTGTGCTTGATGTCACGAAACCATTAACATTTTTTACGTGGTCTGTGGAATAAAAATTAAGCAGAAAACACTACTGATTGAAGAAAAGCAGAATACAAGCAACTTTTAAAATACAGTTAAATTCAACTTGCATCAGCATATTTTGGGATCTTAGTTGTGGCTGGTTTCAAAGGATTTTATTAGCTTACATATTAGGGTAGATGAAATTATTCTGGCAGATCTGTAAAAATTGCATAGGACTCTCCAACATTTTTTGAAGTACATTACTATGTAAAATCCTAACTGAGTTTGGGTGTTTCTCACCTTGTACCAAGTTGACAAAATTCACTTATACCTGGAACCTAACTGTTACCAGCCTGAACAGTTGAAAAACAGCACTTCTACAGCCTCAGCTGTAGGCCCTGCAGGAAAAGCAGGTGTTAATTATATCTAAGATACAAATTTTGCATATGGTGAACACAATCCTGGCAAGGATTATCTGGTTTTATCCAGCTATTTTACATATAGAGGAGCCACACAGACCTGAAGATGAACAACTCACACCTCCAGGTGTGAAGCCTGGCTTTGTCCTGCTTTACAGCCTCACTGTGGAAGGCATCCTAATGACAGATAACAGCAAAATTACCCATGGGAGTCCTCTATCCACCCCAGATGGTAAGAACTGACCTAGCAAGAATGTATATTTACATTATCCTCCAAAAGAGGCTGAGCATCCACAATTATCATCATCTTTGATGGGGATTGCACGCATCAGGACTTCACAAGCTAGTACTAATGCAGCCTCTAGGGAAGATTTAGAAGGAAGAGTATTTGGGAATTAGTCTTAGAAGATCAGTTACATTGGTACATCAAACTTTCTAACTTTTTATCAAAAACAATTGGTGTATGGTACAGTGTGCAGCAGTAAGTACCATGCATTTTCAGTTCTGAAGAATGACCGTATGCTAAAATAACAAGAATGGGCTATTTACTGAATATAGAACCTCGCTCAGAGGTTCAATTGCTTTAAAATCAATGAGAACAACATACAACTAATCTTTCATGCATCTACCTGTCTCTTATCACAGTAGTATTCTGTGATTGTAAGCACCTCAAGAAGCAGCAGCAGCAGCAAGAACTTCCATGAAGTAACTAAATGGGCCAAACTTTCTAAAAGTATGTCTCTTCCTCTAAACTAAACAAAACAAAGTGATGGCAGGGAACTGTCAACACTAATCATATTTCACAGTGTCTTACCATCATCTTTCATGCATAAGCTTAAAACACTGTCATGAATTGTAATTTTTAATTACTTCCACTGCGAACCAAGAAGTATAACAGAAATCCCACAGCAGACAGAGTATACACTTATACCTCATTAAATAAAATAACTTGTATGAATCTTTTTAAAGAATTACAAAACAGGGAAAAAAAAAAAAAAGTTCAACTTAATTATGACCAGTCGCTTACATTTGTGAGTGCTAATTGGAAAAAAAGTAATAATGTTTTGTTTTCAGTTGCTTCTACTCTTTTTGAACTTGGGCATTCCTCAGTTGTAGACAAGTAGGACCTAACAATTCACACTTAGGAACAAAATATTTTTGTGATTAGGAAAACATAGTGTCTGCATATTTGGCATATATGTTCACCACATTCTCCTCAATAAATTAAACAAAACCACACAGACATAGCGAACACAACCTTTGGCTGAACTAGTTTTCAGAATATAAAATAACTAATTAATGCAAAGGAGACTGCTGGAAAACTTAGGCACTTCTTTGACAATAAAGCTGTCGGCAGCGTACCACCACCGTGGCTCGCAGTACGTTTTGAAGATCGCATCAAGAGTCACTTGTCCACTGCTACACCAGTGAACCAGGCTTGTAAGATAAGCGAGGCTGCCGATAATTTCAGCGGCCCGCGGGCTGTATACATAGAGCAAGGCACCGGAGCCCCACATCAGGACGTGCTGTAGGACAAGGCTCCCTTGCAGTGAGGCTGTCCCGGCTCTGCGTGGGGCGCGCAGCAGGAGGGCGCAGCGCAGCCACCCGCTCCGACGGGGCGCCCCGAGGCACCCCGGCAACCCTGCGGGCGGCCCCGAGAGCCGGGGTTCCGGGCCGAGGAGGGGTGACAGGTTGCGAGAAGGCAGCCCAGGGAGGCGGCGCCCGCTGCCGCCGCGGGGGCGGGCAGGAGTCCGGGAGGAGCCGCCGCCGCCCTCCGGCGCCGCCTGCGGGACCCGGCCGCTCTCCGCCGGTGCGGCGGGGCCCGATCCTGCCTGCAAACCACCGAGCCATGCCGAGACGCCCCCCGCAGCCGCTGCCCCGTCCCTGGCCAGCCCGCAGCCCCCCGCGGAGCCCCTCCTGCCCCCCTCCGGCAGCACGGAGGGCGGGGGGAGGGGTCGCAGCCGGGGGAGTCCCGGGCGCCTTCCCTAGGTGAGCGAGAGGGGCGCGGGGCTCCGGTTGCGCCCCCGAGGAGGAGCAGGTGAGCCCCCGACCTGCCCCCCGAGCACACGGCGTAACTGCGGCCGAGACACGGCCACCGGCCGGGAAAAGGGTGGGGGGAGCTTCCCTGGACGTGGAAGTCACTTACCGGCTTTACAAGGATCCTTGTAATCTATCGCCTCGGCTTTATCCTCTTCGGTGAAATCGTAAGTGTAGTCATAATCGAGGCCAGAGCAGGAGGAAGGCTTCCCACAGACAGTCCACCCGGCCAGCCACAGTGCCATCCTCCAGCAAAGCATTTTCATCCTCCCTCGGGCAGAGAGGTGGTGGACAGGACGCAGATGAATTAGGCGGACGGTTCAGCTGTCCACGCCGGCTTGAAAAAGGAGGGTAAGGGATGGAGGAACCACAGGTTTTTTTGGTTGATTTGGGATTTTGCTCGCTCGGTCAGTTATTTTTGTTGGCTTGGGTTTGTTTTTTTTTTTTTGGGTGTTTTGTTTTTGTTTTTTCCTTCTCCACCTAGAGGCTCCTCGGAGAGCCGGTGCTCTCCAGGCAGCCCCGGTCAGACGGGCGCAAGGCAGCGCGCAGCATGAGCGCCGCTGCCCCTCCTGCCCCCAGCCCAGCGGGGAGAAGCGGCTGGGTGCGTAGCTGGGCGCAAGGGGGTGGACGAGGAGAGCTCGGGGAGCTCCCGACCGTCAGGGCGTCCCCTCGCCTCTGCCACAGGCCGGGCAAACTTCCCGCGGAGGAGGAGGAGGCGGCGGCGGCCGCTGCCCGCGCCCCGCTCCGCTCCCCGCTGCGCGCCCGCCTCCCGCCGCGCCGCCGCCCCCGGTCCCGCTGCTGCTGCCGGAAGATGGATCCGGGCTGCACATCAGCGAACCGCCACCGGGAGAGGGGAGAGGAGAAAGAGAGAAGGACGGACGGAAAGAAAAGGGGGGGGGGGGGGTCCGCTACGGCAAACCGCGCAGCCCGAGTGATGGGAGGCGGCGGCTAGGCAGGAGGGAGCAGGGAAAAGTGTCAGAGCTTCCCCCCCTCCGCACAAACACTTACTCTACGCTCTGTCTGTGGTCTGACCCCCCCCCCCCCCCCGCCCCCTCTCCTCCGTCCCCCTTTAACTTACGAAAACCTTACAGGCAACTAACACACAGTCGTCAGCATCCTGCTTACTTATTCATACAGTCAGGGTCAGGATCCGGGCTGCTTCTGATCTGCTCCCTTGATAGTCTTATGGAAACACACGCGCATTCACTATATGCCTCTATCTCCATATAGCTCTCTCTCTAGATAAGCAGCGCACGGCATTTAAACAACAACAAAAGAATCGAGATCAGATAAAAACAACGCGCAGATCGACTCCTGGCAGCCAAAAAGCTCGAGAGAACGGGTGATGAGGAGGAGGATGAGAAGAATTAACTGCAATTTAGGAGACGGGAAAATAAACCAGTGGCCGTGTATTTCGCTCTCCTGCGGCTGCTTTGCAGTGTTAGCCCCATGAGCTGACGGGTGGGGGTTAAGGAGCGAGGGGGAGGGGGAAAGAGAAAAGTTTAAGCGTCCATAGTTTGTTTAAAACAGAGGAAGGCAATATAAAAGGTCCACTGCTCTCCAGAAATTCAGCCAAGCAGCTGAGAACCGGTTCCAAAATGAAAGTAAGAACAAACAAACAGCAAAAAAAAAAAAAAAAAAAATATCAAGGAGAACAAAAAGTAAAATCGCAGCAGCAGCGCTGAGATCTTGCAGCCGGGCTCTCCTGCTCTCACGTGGATCCCCGGGAAAGCGGTGGAGGTTTCTTTTCCAAGCGAAGTTTCCGCGGTGCCCAGCTCCGCTCCAGCGCCGAGGCGCCCCGAGCCGCTACGGGCTGCGCGGGGCCGGGTTTTGTTTTAAAGCCCCCGGAGGGATCAGCGCGCAAAGCCTCCTCTCAGCCGATCAACCTGGAGGGGGGGCGGGGAGGAGGGGTGGAGAGAAGTGCTGCTGGAATAAAAATAAGAGCGAGCGGAAAAAAAAAAAAAAAAGAAAGAAAAAAAAAAAAAAAAAGAGAGAGAGAGAGAGAGAAAGAGATAGGTAGCTAAAGATCTTCCTCCCTGCCTGCCTGCCTCCTCCCCTCCCCCGAGACGGGCAGCTCCGATCCTGCAGAAACGCCTGAAACTGTTTCAGACCAAGGTGAGACTTTTCCGTAGCAAACTCTCCTCCTCCTCCTCCTTTTTACGAGTTTCCATGGAAAAGGGCGGGGGGGAGGTGGAGAAGGGGAGGGGGCTAGGGGCGGGTAGCGGGGAGTTTCTGCTGCTCCCATTTCGCCGGGGTGTCACATTTAACACGGACTTTTGAAAGGGCTGCCGCGAAGAAGCGGCTGCGGCTCGCCCTCGCATCCGAGCCCCGCACAGGCTGGCCCTCCCCGCACCACTTCCCGGTCGCCTTCCTCCTGTCGCAGGGCTGGAAATCCGGAGCCGGTCACTTCTTCCCCCGGCCGTGCCAGGAGCGCTGCCAGCCCCAGCGGGGGCTCCGCGGCCGCGGAAAACGCCGGCAGTTTTGCCAGGGCTGCGCGCCCCTCACCGTCGCCTTAGGGCGCAGCCGCCCCGAGCTCCCCCCCCCCCCCCCTCTTCCCCCGGCGGCCTCGGGCAGCCCCAGGTGCCGCGGCGGGGGGGCCAGGGCACCGGGAAAGGCAGTTACGCAAACTCCGGACAGGCACAGCTTGCTATCGCTGCTATAGCAAGGGCTGCTTAGGAGAAAAAAAAAAAATAAAAGGAAAAGGAAAAGAAAAAAAAATAAAGGAAAAGGGGAAAAACGAGACAAAAAGCATACCGTCCTCCCTCCCCAAGGCCCTCCTCTGCCTCTGTCCTCCTGCAGATGAATGCTTGGTGCTGCTCTAGTTGGGTACTCAGCAGTTCGTGCCATTAGAACTGGAAAGGTCAGTTAAGACAGAGCTAATAACAGCTTAATAGCAGAGCATATTAAAGAGTCTAGCATCAAGTAAGGTCAACGTCTATAAGGCATCCACGCGCCATGCTACCTTACATTTTCAGCATCCCATCCGTGTCCATGTTATTCCCAGCTCCATCAGATTGCTCAGTCTGGAGTTGAAAGCCAAATAATGAGTGGCTGCCACTGAAAGTGTGGTTGCAGCCCTCCGTAATGAATAACAGTCTCTGTCCCAGCCATTCAGTTTGCTGTATGTCACAAGGCCTGCATAAACCACCACATACCACATCACAGAGAAGCCTGGGAAACTTGTGGCCTTTTTCTTTCCCCTCTTCCTCAATGTAATTTCCCTGACCAGTGACGCCAAACACTTGGTGCTAAGTCCAAGGAAGCTATTGGAGACCCTTGTGTCATCCCATCTGAGCACTGGCTGGGCTGATGTCTGCCTTCACTTGTATTGTGTCATGGTTCGGGAGGCTGTATTTTGCTACAGAAGTCAGCTTGATCCAAGCAGAAATGTAGCTTGTGTTATTTTGGATGTCCACAAATGGGATATTTTGTCTTACAGCATCTTTGATTACTTTCTTATTTCACTTATTGGACCTCCCCAACCTAATTTTGCTGGTCTGTCAGTCTTGTTTGATACGCACACCTGTAAAAAGTCAATTTTCTTTCCTGTGCCTATGCACCTCAACACAAAAATAGAAACAACCTCAGTCGAGCAGGCATCCATGTTAGTCAATAGAGCTTCAGAAACACTGACTTTGCTGATTGCTTTGCAGACATGGAAGAATATACAACGTGCGATCCTGAACACGCCAGTCTCCCCAGCGAGGAGATTATTAGACTCTCTCCCCAGCGGGGGATTAGCTCTTGCAGTAAGGTACGCACTGACGTCACCCCCAGCAATCTGCCCCCGACCTCGGCAGCACCAGCACCAGCAGAGCAGCACCAACCGCCAGCAGGCTAGAGGACAGCTGGCCTTGCTGAGCCCTGACTCAGGCAGGAAACAAACTCAGAAGCGCTAGATGGGAGTCACGCAGAAATCTGTGCACGTAAGTGCTGTAACAAATAGATGCGGGTATAGGTCAGGGTAAAAGCTGTTTTCTGCTTGTAATCCAGAGCAGCTACACATTAAAATTGCTCTTTAAAATCAGCATTGCAGCTCTGCAGAAGCTATCCTACATTGCTTAGGTATTAATATTCCCATCAGTCACATTAGTAAAAGCCTTTCCTCACATTAAAATAAAATTTTCCTAGTAACTAAAGTGGCTGACATCTTTAAAAAATAAACTTTTCCCTAAGTGACCTCTTAAATATTCAATCTAGCTTGTTTTTATGATGCAAAATTTTGAAACATTTAAAGTACAAAATATTTTTTTCTTATCACACGTTCATGTCTACCATTCTAAAAAGCTCACAACTCTGATAATCCATCTGACAACACAGTCAATCAAAAATCCATCCTACAGCCGTTTCCAAAGAAACGAACACATAGCCAGAAAGACAGAATGCTTGAGCTGGAAGGAAACCAACCAAAGGAACACAACAACAGCGACAACAAGAACTCCAAGCATTTTGCCTTTTTCTTTAAATTTCCTTGTTTGGACATATATTACAGTGACACAGGTAATGGTAAACACAATTACATGATAAGTGGCGGTAGTATTTTATTTTTTTTTTTAAATCCAGTCAACTAAAGGCTTTTCTGCTCCTCCCACACACACACACAAGAAGAAGAACTTTTTAAAAAAGGACAAGTTTGCAAGAAAGACAGACAATCACAGAACTAAAAAAAAAAAAAAACACACCACATGTCTGAAACCGTTGCTCGCACCTCCTCCTCATTCTTTGGCTATCTGTCTCCTGCTTAGGCCTCAATCTCGTGCGCAGTTTTAGGTGGGTGGACACAATGGGCTTATTCACATGCACCAAACTCGGCACATGCTGAAGTCTTTGAAGACTCAAGACCAGTACTGGTCAGCTCCTCAGGACTCTCAGGATTTTTCAAGAGGCTAACACAGTGAAATTCAGAGGGAGTTGGTTAGGTACCCACTTTTATCTCCTGTTAACCCCATTCCTAGTCCGTTAGGTACCTCAGGCACTTCCAAAACAGTTGAAGCTATGTTTAGGAGTTCCCAATTCTATAAACTGTTACTCAATAGGGAAGTACTGAAGCTGGAAGTGCATTGTGGCAAATAGCCTCTCCACAGTAATAGATAATCAGGCATATATAACACAGATACATACCAAATAAACAATATAAATTATAGTGAAACTTTTGAGGTAAAAATCAAGCAGTCATTATCTTAACAGCAATGAGCTCACCTGTGAGGCCTTGTTTCTCCATTCTCTCACACATCTATTCATGTATTATGAAACAGCTGTTTGTTGTATGTCCACATACTTTTTCCCCCCCCCCCCCAGAGGTCTCTGTGTTTAATTTTCAAAAAGCCCGTCAGTATTATGTTTTATGTTTATTTTTGAAAGCGTGGTGTATGCTTTATTCACTACACACACATTCAGATCCTACTCTGCATACAGACCTATTAATTTCCTTGTGGGCTTTAACGGATCTTTTTGGTATTCACCTGCTTTGGAAATATTAATTAGTTTAGTTTCACAATACACCCCTCAGATGAGGGGATATGAATATTACACTTGAGACAGTTATAGATCGTCTGGCTTGATACCTTGTAGACCTGTCAGGACTTGGCAAATAGAAAACACTTACTTCAAGGCCCAGTTTCCACTGGCTTCAGCTGCAGTAATCTTACTCACCAAGCATCCAGAGCTGCTTCTGATCAAACCCTGGAGTTTTCACACATCCAAAAACAAGATGCAAATAATTAGTACACAGTGTAACATTAAAGTCTTAAAACAGCTTTATCAAGGAGCTCTGTTGCAAAGGCAAGGGCTAAGACAGAAGTCTTCAGGTCATTCAGCTCTCCAAAGACTTTCAACACTGTTTCTCTTCTAGGACAAATGTGACCAGTCTTCTGCCAGCAACAGCCACATCAGTAATGGCACCCACATAATTCATCCACCGCTGTGAATTTTCTGCTTCTCCATGAAGTACCCGCTAGCACAGTCCTGTGTTTGGCTTAGCATTTGAGGCAGAGCAAGTCTCTCCAGCACTGGATTTCACAGGTATTACTGACAGAAGGGTGACAGCAACCCTTGAGTTTTCTTCCAAGCTCCAGGAGAGGGCTTTTCTTTTTTTTTTTTTTTTAAATAGAACACTCCCGCCTGTTTGCTCCCCATGTCCCTGTTTTTCCTTATCTTCGTTTGTTATTTCTAACCTGCACTCATTCTCTCCTTTCTCTCCTCGCTCTTGGCTCTTCATCCTAGTTTTGTTTTTCTTATCTAGTTAATGGTAGTGTCTGATTCTCATCACTGTTCCAGCTGTCCTAGCTGTACTCTTCTTTAATCTTATTCTGGAGCTCCTCACTCTCAGATTCACATTTAGCTGCATAATTATTTTTTTGTTGTTTTCACTCCCATTGTCTAGTTGCTTCTTTTCTTAGGCTTTTTCACATGATTTAACTTCCACCCATGTCAACATTCACCTTCTTTGTATGTTCTGTGCTCTGGGTATGTACCAAAAAGTAGGTCTTGCTCTTCAACTTTATAACCCAATTACACAGTTACCCTTGTGCTTGGCCAAGGGTATAGCCTTACATCTCTGTTCAAGCAGTTTTGATCGCCTGCAACCCTCCTTCTCTTTCTTTTTAGTCTTAATATCTCAGGCCCAGTACTTTATGCAAGCAATTTCCTTGTCCCAAAACACACCCACCATTCCCACTGCTGATTTCTCCTAATCACTTTCCAGTAAAAAAACATCTAGAAAGAAAGAAGTGTTGTGTCAACTTTACCATGCTGCAAGATCAGTTCTTCCCTACTGAAATCAGACAGCCTGCCCCTCTTCATCCCATAGCTACATCATGGAGCATTGAGCGTGTGAAAGCATCTCATCTTCTCAGTTCCAGACCCAAGTAAGGCATAGGTCAAAATGATCATGTAAAATGTCACTGCAGATGAGATACCCAGGTAAGATAGCTGCTGAAGCTGCATTCAAGGCTGATTGTGGTGGCATAGAAGTCCATAGTCTTAATAACAAAAAAGATACATCCTTTGACCTCAGGGGTGATACTTTCCTCCTTTCTGTTCTGCTCAAGATTTAAGTACATTTCCTACAGGCTGAGTGTACTGAAGACCTTCCAAAAATACTGCTACAACTTTTAATTAAGAGCAAACCCATATATTTGGGAGCTCCATTTTCAAATATCTGGGTAATTTAAGGTAATATTTAAAAGAAATGTTAAAGAACAAGAAATCAAAACTACAAATCAGCCTGCAGCAGATACTCAGATGGAAAATATTATACCCAATCTTTACAATTAAGCAAAGTTATGTAAACAACTTAAACAGTATCTATTTACAGACAGCATCAGTGAACTTGAATAATAATTACCCTACCACATTCTGCTTAGAGCTGTGTGTTATGCCATCTCCATTTTTAATGCTTTAAAAACTGCAAAAGAAGAGCATATAAAACTACATTGAGAACACATGCTGATGTTAAAACAAGTGATCAAGCAACAACAACAAAACCAGTGGTGCAATACTTAAATTAGAAACTGTTCTGTGTTTGCTCAGCATCCCTGATCCCCATCAGGCAATAAATCAATTTGCAGTAGCTGTGGACAGCTATTTAAACATAGGGCCAGAAGAGCTTAATTGTTAAAGCAATGTTCAAAGTTAGAAGGCTCAGTATAGGAGGTCATACTAAATATTCACTTCTCTGAAACTAGCTGCATTCCAAGTATGAGGAGGCATCCTGCCCTCCCCTTAATTAAAAAACACAGCCTATGAGCCCTGAGCTTAGCAGAGCTTAGCTTGCAGTTCTTCAGAATGCAGACAGACTGCCAGATGAAGAACTGACATCTAAATGTCTGCCAACTTGATTTTGTCTGGTTTACTTTATTATCTAGCAAGCAATACAGTTAAGGAACTGTTTTGAAATTTTAGTTTAATTTTACAAATTGGCAAAGCACCCAGTTCAATTCTCAGTTTTGTAAGAGGTTGCTCCTTGTCAAAGTCTACAGCAAACTTACCTTTTACTTTCATATGAACTGAACAGGATTACTTATCAGTGATCTTCCTAAACAGTGATTGCTGGTGAACAGTTTCTTTGGGAATGATGATACAAGTACAAAAAATACAATAATAATATTACTATTCCTGTCATAAACCTTACTGTGATTCTTTTTAAATATTTTGCAGTTTTCAATTTTATCATTTTATCATTTTGAGTGTTACAATGTTTTAAGGTATAATTCTACTTCAGGTACTAGTAAGCAGTTCCTTAATTTAAAATACATTATTACTGAGACTTATGAATTTCAAAACAGCCTTTTGATTAAAGTTGAACTGAACAAGCATTTTATTGTCATTTAATTATTTTACATATGCATTTTATGTCACCTTCAAATAAGTAAACCAGAGTATAAAAAAATTATAAAGTAGTCACTGAAATCTTAACAACAACAAGGAAAGCCAGCTTCAGATTTGGTCCAACTTATGTCTATAAATTATTTTTTAAATATGCTTAATGTAGCTTGTATTTGCCATCAAGCAGAGAGACACAAATATTTTCTTGGATTTAATTCAGTGCCAGTGAAACTAAAAGCTAGTATTTGGTAAATAGTCCAGATTCCCAGTCTTTTCCAATCAAAGACACCTCTGCAACCCTCACATAAAAGTAGCAGTAATACAAGTGATGACTTTGACATTACTGAGATTTTTTTTATTATTATTATTTTTTAAAAACAACTTTAGGTGACATTCTAGCAGGTGGCAAATTGTGGTCTACCGATTGGATGAAAAAGCACCATGTTCACTTTTTTCTAGAATAACCATAACAAAAAGATTTAAATTCTGTCCACCCTGCATTATGAACAACTGTTGTTGCTAGACTGTGAAGTGGCTTTTGTTGTTCCCAGACTGACTAGGTGCACCGGGTTAATCTTACCCTCCAGTATTCAGCATACTGTCACATAGCTGGGAGTCACTGGATGATTTTTGACAGAAGAAAGCCTCTGATGAGCCTGATCTTGAGTGACTGCTGGGCATTTTGATCTTCCATTGATTCTTAGAAGATGAAGCTCAACACTTGCAGAACAGGATTCATTGTTTTGAGCAATGCACTGCTCAGATGAAAATCTGTGTTTTAGTTTACATTGCAAGTTATAACGTACGATAACGTCCTTCAAATTTACTGCAGAAAACACGTAACAATAAGACAGAAGGTGAGGGATAAAAGTCAATAGAGAAACCATGGGTTAATTAGGTTTTCTACATAGACACAACGTATTCTTCTAATTTAGGATCACCAAAAGTAAATAAGACATACCACCAACTCCCAAAAGGAAGAATGGCAATTGTCTTACAAAAAACAGCAAGAAACTATAATACAAACATTATCAATGACAACAATGTTGTCCTATAGTTACTAGCTTTGTTTTATTTGCAATAACATTTATTAAACTTCTCGACATGGCAGAGAACTTTTACCCCTTTCAACAGGATTTCATTAACAAAGGTGTTATTGAATTTTACAGTGCAGCAATCCAGAAAAAACACGCATATACCTTAGGTAGTTTAGATACTTTTTTTTTAATCTTCAGTAGTAAGAGATCATGAAGAAAACTAATTTCATTGCATTCGTATTTTCCATCTCTCTCCAGAATTATTTGTATTGTGCTTATTTTCAATTGCCTGTTGCTACAATAGACCATTTTCCTAGACTATGCAGTACAACCTTTTTAAAAAAGACAACACTGATGTCTCCATGCAGCACTAATTAATTTCCATTGTCTGAAGCATTCAGAGATCATATTGTATTTTAAAAATTGATGCTCTTTCACTCACCAAGGTGATAATTTTGTGCAACCCCCAATCAACATTTGCTGTAAATAATGCATATTTTACAATAATTACACATACACACAGAATATAAGTATGCATTAACTCAACTTGCAAGCATTTTAGTAGAATTTTCCTTCAGAACAGTTACAGAACTAAGTCCATGCAACTCATTTTCACCCCCCTCCCCAAGCTACACAAGCTTCAATACTAGAGATGTCACAAATGACTGACTTGACAATTATTGTCAATTGTGTGCACACATACATGCATACATGCAATATAAAGGACCCAGCCCAAAGTCTGAGAACAAAATATTTCCACAATTAAAACAGAACGTGGAACCACCATTTACATAAATTTTCATTCTTCCAAGAAGCCAAATTGAAAACATGTATCTACAGAGTAAGGTTAAGAGTGAGAGAGGTCCCAGGCATCTTTTATACCACCACAGTTCTATGTTGCACATGATACAGTGTCTAGTCTCACTGCAAAAACACTACAGATTTGCTTTATGTGTGTGCTACCAATCTGAAGAGTCAGATTTACTATACATGCTCCAGGCATCTAGGTTTGGGTTTCCTATGTCCTGGCAGGGGTGCCCTTTTCAGAATAGGAACTGAAGCCTTTACTGTATAAGTACAGACTTAAAACAGCATCATACATCTGCACTTCTCAGAATCTCCAAGCATGGAGCAAAAGAACCAAGGTGTATGCTCGTGCTTATGATTACACAGAACTCACAGAACTGTCACAACATTAAAAAAAATCTTATAAGTATGTGTTAATGTGTATTTTATTTGTTAAAATAAAAACTATTCTTTATAAAAAAAAAAAATTCTGAAAAAATTTCTGAACCCCAATCTGTCATTTGATTTTAGTACTAGATCTTTCAAAAGAAAAATTATTGATGTAGACAACATTTTTTACATAGCTGTCCAGATAGTACAGATGTAATCATGTTAATCAGGTACTTTGCTAGAGAAGTGTTGAAATACCAGGAACAACTAAAGGACCTCACTGTGGAAAAAAAAAGACTGTAACTTACAAATAAAATTTATTAATTTTTCAACAGTGAGCAAGCATTTAATGAGCATAATATAGCAAACAGTGCCTAGCCAAATCTCCAGTTAAGAGCCAGATTTAGTTCAGCAATAAAAATAATTTCAACTGTAGCAGCATTAGGCTTTTTTCATGGATTACCTGAAAAGGAAAAAAAAAAAAAAAAAAACACTCGTTTTATCAAGCCACCAGAGCCACTAGGACAGAAGGCAGTAGATGGATGCTCCCAGCTTGTGGAACCTGCGTGTCTTCTTGAGGATTTCCCTCAGCCTGCAGGTGATGGCACTGAACACGATTTGCAGAGGCCTGGCATCCTTGCCCTTGCTAGCAGATGCTGATTTTTTGGCACCCTGCGACCCCTAGTGAGAGCCAAAGGCGGCCGGGCAGCAGCCACCGCCGCCCCCTGGCCTTTGCTCCCGCTGGGTCTGGGCAACCCGTCCCAGGAGCCGCAAGCACACAGGCATGCTCTTGGCAAGGCATCGACTGCTTCCAGCTCACGGGCAAAACATACCTCTAGGGACTTCCCTTTCCCTCACTAACTACCCGAAACGTTGCTATAAAAGCATAACAATGCATTGCCTTTAGTTGCTTTGAAACAATGCACTGATTGTGTGGCTGTTGTTGGTCTAAACTCTGATGGCAAGAGGGAGAGAGGTGAGAAACAACATTCATCTTCTACATGCTACAAAAAGTGAAAAATTGAAATTGCAGGCTACACTTCAGGGAGCTTTCCTATGTAGCTACAGACAGGTAAGGCATCTTTGCAAGCAAAAATGTTCAATACAGAATTTATATTTGTTTGCATGATGGTAGTAAGAAATTTATCTCACCATATTCAAAAACTGCAAGCTAAGCTTTTTGCTGTAGCAGTTGTGTTCATATCCACCAGAACAATAGTGTTTAGAACAATGATTTTGCTCAATGTGTACATGCATAAAAAGCTTTCCCTGAAAACATAAACATGCAAATATTGAAGAAGAAAGGGTATTTCTAAACTTGGTGCAATTTTTCCAGTAAAGTTTCATAAATATATTCATAAATATATATAGGAAAATTTGCATATATACACAAACATATATAAAACTTCTACACACTTCAGTAGCATGCACACTTTGAGTCAGTAATACATGAAAGGGGTAAACCTGATGCTTTCATTTTTGCATTTTGCTAAAAATACCTAAGCAATGCTAAAAAACAAGGTAAACTTAGTGAGTTTTAATATTATGTTGTCCAGCAGAAATGAAAATACACATCAGCTAGATCAAATAGATCACTTTTTTTTCAGTAGAAAACCTTGACAATCTGAGACTAGTGAGGCACTGTTATCTATCAGATAAAATATTCCAGGATTCTAAATGTACCCACTTTTCAAAGACACCTTTGAATATCTTGTGATATATTCCATGGAATGTATGGAATCTTGTGATTCCAAAGCAATAGAAACCTAAGATGAAGGCTTTTTATTCATCACTTTGCATCAAAATAATTATGACTTGTCTTTATTGAATAGTATTGCCTTCTGATCTGTAGCTCTTTGCAGTTAAATAAGTTCAGAGGCAAGCTTTCCAGTCATTTAGTCTGTCTTCCTAGTTCCCATTTACTCACACATTGAGTTGTGTCCAAGTCATACTGACAACCAAAACTAAATATTCAGTGATCATAAGCGGTTCGAGATCTGGAAACCTACTCTGAATTTTCTCAAGTAATTTTCATTGAGAGCTGAAATTCTCCTAGATGTTGGCAAAATGGGAGCATGGATAACATGACTGTTGTATGAGCCATCTCCCATTTCTCAAATGTTTATTTTAAATAGCTTAGTGGCTCCCGTTCCTGTCACTGCTAAATCACTGGTTCTAGATAGGTACTTCCCACTGTCAAGCCTATGAATTACCTCTGAAAAAAATAATTATTTTTCCCTTGTACAGTGTTCATTGTTAATTATACTTTTCTTGTGTATTTAAATCATCTATCATATACTTTGATGGAAAGGAACAGTCTACCTTACTGCACCACTGAGGTATCACAGCTTGCATAACCCACACTAGTATATTGGTAAACAAATACTCAGTAAGAGATCTATGTCTCTTCTGTGTAATTTCTGCTCAATGCCAAGCTAATCTTTCTTTAGGTTTGCTCCACATGTGACCAATCATTACACAGAATCATAGAATGGCTTGGGTTGGAAGGGACCTTAAAGATAATTGTTTTCATCCCCCCCTGCCATGGGTAGGGACACCTCCCACTAGATCGGGTTGTCCAGGGCTCCATCCAAACCAGCCTTGAACGATTCCAGAGATGAGACATCCACAATTTCTCTGGGCAGTTCCAGTGCCTCACCACTCTCACTGTAAAGAATGTCTTCCTAACCTCTAACATAAATCTCCCCTCTTTCAGTTTAAAACCATTCCCCCTTGTCCTACCATTACCTGCCCACATAAAAAGTCACTCTCCTTGTACAAGCCCCCTTTAAATATGGAACATATGCATTAAGGTCACCCTGGAGCCTTCTATTCTCCAGACTGAACATCTTCAGCTCTCTCTTTCTTCATAGAAGAGGGGCTCCAGCCCTCTGATAATCTTCATAGCCCTCCTCTGGACTCGCTGTAATAGGCCCTTAACACACCTTTCTTGTGCTGGAGGTCCCAGACCTGAATAAAGGTTGGGCCTCACCAGGGCAAAGCAGAGGGGGATACTTCCCTCCCTTGACCTGCTGGCCACTGCTCCCTTGATGCAGCTGGACTTCTGAGATGCAAGTGTACACTGCTGGCTCATGTCAAGATTTTTGTCTACTAGAAGTCCCAAGTCCTTCTCTGCAGGACTGCTCTCAATGCATTCTTCTCCCAGCCTGTACTGCTGTCTGGGATTGCCCCAACCCAGGTACAGCACCTTGCACTCGGACTTGCTGAACCTCATTAGGTTCACATTGGTCCACTTTTCTAGCTTGTTTGGGTTTCTTAGGATGGCATCCCTTCCTTCTGCTATATCAGCTGCACCACTCAGCTTGATGTCATAAGTTTTCAGAGGCCCATTTGGCTGAGCATAGAAGCTAAAAACACAGCAAAATTAATATAATCCTGTTGAGTCACAGCAATTGGAAAAATGGAGAAACAGTCTTGAGGCAGCAAACCTGGTTCTGCATACTAATGTCCATTATATTGATGGCTTAGTTCATGGCTACTGGATCCACAGTAGTATTTATAAAAATAAAGAAATATATATATGCAATTGGAAGTGTATGTTACTACAACCTCCCCAGCTACACATTGCACATTGTTTTCTCCCTGTTGGTATTTCTGCTATTGAATCAAGTGGATCATTCCATCCACTGCCCACAGCTTTAGACAAAGTACCTGAAAAAATCCCATTTTGTCCTTCAGTTACTTCATAGGGGACTCATTAGAAGATTTGTATATGCATATGTGCATGAAGAAAGCTGAATAGCTGAAAGTGAATTTAAAAAAAAAAAGGAATATACTTTATGTTCAAAGTCTTATCTGACAT